GTTGTATAGACCAAATATTCACCCTTCGGCGGATTATGGGACATACACAATTTTCGGCGTCCACCTCTGGTTGTGTTCCTTGACCTTAAGGTGGCGCTCGACTTCAGTGATCATGAGATTCTGTGGCAGTGTCTGTCATTAAAAGGCGTACCAAAGTACATTAACCCTGTACAGGCCCTCTACTTGAACGCTACTGGTCGAGTCAGATCTTCTGGGGAAAAGTCGTCGGAATTGGTTGCTGTAAGTGGTGTTCATCAGGGTTGTCTGCCTTATCTATTCTTATTTAACATTGTTATATACATGATATAGAGATAACGCTTTATTCGTCTGACATTTTAGGACTTGACCTTCCACTAGAAGATTCACTTTTTGATTTAGAATACGTGGATCATGTAGTTTTGTTTGATCAAGACGGTGACAAAATGCAGTTTTTTGACCACCTTAAGGAACAATGAAAATTTGTTTGGGATGTGATTGTCTCCTTTCAAATGCAAAATGGTGCTTTAGGATTGGGTTATGGCTTTTAATGGATGTTAGGGAGTGGAGTAATTGAACGCATCGACTGCTTCACTTATCTCGATAGTCTCATCAATCCTGGCGGTCTAGTATTTGACAAAATCTCGACACGGATTCAGAATTCTTGGTTCAGCAGTCGAATACTAGGTGAGGATGGCAAGTTGATTGATAGGCTGGTGAGTCTCTATCAACCGAGGTGGTTGGGCATACGTAACACATGTCATAAACACCGCTTACCTCAACGGGCGATGTTGATCGGTATATGCGTTGGGTGGAAATAAGCTAGGGACGGCCAAACCAAAACATGGCATCAGTTCATGAAGTCATCGACAGTCGACCTTGGCCATGCTTTTAGGTGTAAACTACGCGGTTGAGGTTCGCTTGCTCATTTTGTCTAGCAGTTATAGACTTCAAATTACACGGTGCAGGTCCATCCATACTTTGTCTTCCCCCAAATTCTAAATTCATAATTTCCATGTTTTTATTTCACTAATTTAGTTTTTGCCTCCAAATGCCCCGGTACGAACGAGAGTGGGGAGAGTTCACTCTCCCTCTCTAAATGCTCTCACATGGACACGCGTATATAGCCTCTGGCAGGGAAGTCCTACTCACTGCCTTCTCGTGGCGGGGGTGTTGTTTGCGAAATTGAGAGAACGAAAAGCGAATGTCCGGCGCTTCAACTGGGTTGGTGGACATGGAGAGTCCACTTAGGGGAGTTGGAAAACCCTGGTTCCAAACTGTTAGCGGGACATAGACTAGACTAAAGCATGCTCAATGCATGATTGCTTTGGTGCACGCTGATTGGCTAATTCTTATCCAATCAGCGCTAGTCGATAGTTGGAGAATATTCTGGATTCTTCTTATGTAAAAACTATAAATATACCGACGTTTTCCCCTATTGTGCTTCCTACTGGCTTCTGACTTGCTATTTGGAATATAATCTTTTTCCTGTTCAACCGTGTTCTGATTTGGGGACTTGTCGAGTGATTCGGTGTCCGAGAATACTAAGCAATAGGAATAGCTGGGTCATTAACCGTAAGAAAAGAGATTATAACAGTGGCGACGGGGAAAACTAAAGAAAAATGGCGATTTCTTTAGAACAGTTGCGGTTAATATTACAGCACCAGCAGAAGTTGTTAGCCTTGCAACAACAACTATTGAACACACTTTTCACTCGACCAGAAAATAAGAAATCTGTTTATGATGCAGTAACAGACATTTCAGAAGCATATCTAGTGGAGGGTTCAAATCCTTTATACCTGAATCAGAACGTAATATTTGTAACGTGTCCGGCTCACAGCAAGAAAATACTGTGCTGAATGCACATGAAGTTGTGACAATACCAGATGATCAGGAGCCAGATCCTGTAGATGAAGCCCGGAGTCCAGAATCAAATGAAACACTACTGGTACTGTCTAGCTGCGAAAATAAACGTCAGCTCGAACAAAATTGTGGTCCACGTGCTATTAGTCGAGAAAGCTATGGTGACTCGTATTCAGAAAATAACTGGAGCAACACGATGAACCAAATAGTACCAGATGTTACTCAAAATCACCGGAAGACAGAATTTTATATTGAGTCAACTTATCCCATTTCTAATGACAGTGTACCAGATATTGATTCTCAGAATAATGCATATGATTTTGATGAACCTTCTTATAACAATGAGGGAAATATGTCAGCTGAGTCGAATGATGGCCAAAAATCTAATCTAATTCTGTTAGACGTTGACTTTCTTAATGACTCGTTATCAGCTAACGAGATTCATAATGAATTTGAAAATAATGAACTCAGATCAAAGGTTGTTCATCATCATCTAGTCATTTTTAGTGGATTCTCCAGTCAATACGAGAAACATGGTTTAAATAAAGTCCTACTAGTTATAATTTGGAGCCATAAGGACCCAACATTATTTCGAGGAGGAGGAGAATGTTGGAGAATTAAAAGTTATGCATACTTTTTTTTAAGAAAAATCAAAACGCCGGGAACAGACATGTCAGTCTCTGTGCAAGGAAAAAGTGATAATTCTTCATTGCCTAGCAAACCAATGGTGCGCATGGGCTCCAGTACCCTAAGGGAACAAATGGCGTATGAAGCAGTTATTGGTCACCGGCTACCATGGGACTGTATCTCCTTATGATGCTCCACTGCCTTGTGGATCAGACCTTCAGGTCGAAGGCTCTAGGTGTGGCTCCCTAAGATAACCACCTGCTTCGATTTGGGCACCCGGAGAGTATCACAGCCCTCATACATATCAAATGAGATTTGTGTGGCGCATATGTATTTGTTGCCTCCTTGTACCAATATTTATGTGTTAAAATAAATTAATTTATAGTTTCGTGAAACGTATGTTCAATACCTAATTTCCCCTATTATCACTGATACTGTTACTACCTCTGCTATTGTGGGATTTGGTCTGATAATCTCATCTGTGTATGGCAACTTGAACCGATGTGCATATGTACCGGGTTCTGTGTTGTAACTGACTGAATGACTGACTTACTTTGTCTTCATTCACCATACAGATTCCTTCGTTGAGCTTTTTATCTGGATATCCAATTGTTCTTTGATGTTACTGGTGTATTGACTTGATTTGCCTTTTCTATTCCACGAAAGGAGTTCTTCACTCTGCTTCGTGACACAATTATTCTAAAACTACGACTAACACACATTTTACTGATGCTCAAGTACAATTTTATGTTATTCTGAATAAGCCCAGTTATTTCAGAATACTTTGCATATGTTTATCTAAATGTCTCATGGCCTTTTCGTCCAAGATATTCAGCCAAATTACTTGACTATATCTACGTTATAAGCTTTTGGTACTTAAAAATTCAGCTTAAGTAATCTATTTATGGTGAGAAAACTCTACATCATTTGTTTGTGTCCCAACAGACTAACATGTAGGTGTAATCTATAATAAATTCGTTTGCCGAACGTACAATCTCATTAAAGCATTTTGGATAGATGCCTTAGTGCTAACTGATGATGAGTTACTTATTAGCGAGCATCTATTTACAAGGGAGAGTTATTGTGGTTAATTTTATAATGTTGTCCCATTCGTGTTGATAATCTAGGGATACATGTTTATACCTTTGTTGGAAGTCAATAAAGTAGATAGATTTGTAAGTTGGTTTAGAAATATTAAGTCCAACCGTCGTAATTGTTATCATCAACCAATTACCCTCTGCACATAATTCTGATATAATTTGGACATGTACTATTCATATATTTTGATAATCGTTGATTAATGATCTTCATTTTTTAGGCTTTTTCTCGAATGAGTTCTGTGATTAATATTATTCTCGTGGAGACTGATATTTAAAATTATGGATGGAAACCCTAGTACTCTTTCCATCTTATCAGATAAGGTAATATATTATTGTTTTATTTAGTTGATGTTCACATTTCTTCATCATTTAAAAATGTCAAATAGTCTCAATACTGTCAACTTTTAACTTGTTTTGTTGCATCTATGCACCTAATATTAGTGGATTGGTTCATCATGATATACAAGCTCGACATAATTTGTTCCGATTATTTTCTTAAGAAATTTATTTCCTTAAATTTCAACGTACTTCTGTCGAACTATTTGTTAATGTTATTCTATATTTTTACTTTTTTATTAATTATCATTAGTTGCATCATTCACTTAATTATAACGATTGATTGTATTCATATTCATCAGTACATTGTTTGTTAAGTGTTACTTCATACTATAATATCCAAACAAGTCAAGTTTAGATGGAATATACATAAATTTATTAAGAGAGAACACAGATTATTTATGAAATATATACACCTAGTCTTCAATATTCCATTTGCGTTTCTTGTATGTTCCGTAATATAAGCTGGTTGTAGACTGTCCTCTATAGCTTCTCTTTGGATCGCACAAGTATTCTAAACTTTTCTTGCTTTCGGCTTCCTAAGATTCCTGACTGATGCAACTCCTATGCGACACTCCGCTGCATACTACTTATAAGGAATCTTGTGAGTAGTGTCTAGCACAATACACTAGTTGGAAAATTAATTTAATAATAAAACGAACCATGAGATAAACTAGAGATTACTATCTATTAAAAATATAAAAGATACAACTAAACAATGAATAATTATTTTCAGAATAGGGGTTTGTGTAAATTATAGTAATTTTAATAGTTAAATTCATGAGTTAATCTAATTTAGACCTTCATTGAAAACCAGGTTTTCAGTGGTGGCCTCCAGTCAGTCAACTACAACGTAAGACCCGGCATATATATGCATCGGTTCAATTTGTCACAGCGGTGGTCCAGCTTAGATCCAACTATCAGAGTAATTATTTATTATGATCTTTTATTTTTCACAGAAGTAAATGAAGATCATTGTGGAATTTCATTTTTTCCATTTCAAAATAAAACTCTTCAAACAATAATAGTAATAATAATAGTGGTGGTAGTGTAGTGAACGGACACTCAAGTGGAGAATACCAATCAATTATTTAATTCATAATCACCCAATAGTTTAGCAAAACGTGAAAACCATACATTTAATACATCATTTGCATATCTTTGAATTGTCTCTTACAAGCTTCAGTATTCCTTCATTTCTGTTGTTATCTTGATTGTTTTCAATTTTCTTCCCTCTTCTTTTTATTCCAATTTTCTCAACCTTATACTTGTAAATATTCTACTTCTGACTGGTGTTACATACTACTTATATCTGCGGACATAAGTAGTACACACCACAAGAGTAGTAATGAACATCAGTTATTCAGTGAAATGAACGAATTTTTAAGTACATAATATTTTAATGTAACAAATTGTAAAGGATAAGATTACTCGTAATTTCAATTTGGAAAATAGAATAAAAAATCAAAGCGTAGAAAATAGTGGCGAGACTCTAATTTATGGACGGGCCAATCACAAGCGTTTTAGAGATTTCAAGGTTACGGCGCCAACTTCAGTGCTTAATGCTAACGTACGATCGGTTCACAGGGAATTAGTATAAAAAATAACACTAAGATCATTTACAATAAAATTGGTGATATAAACCGGGTTTTCTTTGGAACACATAAAACAATCACTTTAGCTCGATTCACACATAACATATATATGTTAGGTTAGTTTGTTCGATTCTACAAGATTCTACAATCAATCGTTTGTTTTAAAACTGGATTTCTTTGTAGTGAGGTTCTTTTTTACAAGGTTAGACTAGTAGACGTACGTCCAATTCTCCTTCTTTGCTAAAAGTATCTCTATAGAGGTTGTAGGCCTCAACTTACACTAATGAAAAAGCAAGATCCTCAAATACAACACGGAAAACACCGACCTAATCAAATTTGATAGTGAGACCGTGGAATATTTAGAATTCTTCACATACTTGGGAAGCATCATCGATGCACAAGAAGGATCAGATGCAAACGTAAAGGCGAGGATTAACAAAGCAAGGGCTGCATTCCTTCAATTGAAGAACATATGGAATTCAAAACAACGGTCAACCAATATCAAAGTCAGAATCTTCAATACTAACGTCAAGACAGTCCTACTGTACGGAGATGAAACTTGGAGAACTACCACGACCATCATCAAGAAGGTGAAAGTAATTATAAATAGTTATCTACGCAAGATACTCAATATCCGTTGGTCGGATACCATCAGCGACAGCCTTCTGTTCGAGAGAACAAACCAGCTTCCAGTTGACGAGGAAATTAGGAAAAGACGTTGGAAGTGGATAGGACATACATAACGCAAATCATCAAACTGCATCACGAGGCAAGTGCTAACTTTGAATCCTGAAAGGGCCACGGAAAGGAGGAAGGCCGAAGGACACACTACATCGGGAATTGGAAGCAGACATGAAAAGGATGAATAACAACTGGAAAGAGCTGGAAACGATTGCCCAGGTCAGGGTTGGATGAAGAGTGCTGGTGGGCGGCCTATGATCCTCCACGAGGAGTAACAAGCGTAAGTAAGTAATATTAGGTTGTAGATAAAGTTTTGTGACAATGTAGATTTCATTCTTTTACACGGAACCATGTAGGATAAATATCTTTTTTTCTAACACTGAGAAACGATCCTAATTGAAAGACCTTTGTAATCAGCTTCAAAAAGACACCCTCTTAATTTAAAATATTTCAACAGGATTAGTTTACATTAATCATTAGGTTAATTATAGAAAGTGAATTAGATGATTACAAGTTTCATCAGCTCTATTAAATTAGTATCTAACAAAATCTTGTTATGCATTCATTAGCCTTGTTTATTTAAATATTTTATGCACGTAGAGATAGAGACAGAGTTTACACTCGCATACTTTTCTATTGTTTATTTCAACCGATGATTTTTTCTGTTTTGTCTTAATTCACTTATTATCTAGTATGTTTTTTTAAATCCAAATGAAGATCAATTCTTATGTATAAAAAATTATTTGGATATAGAATTAGATAATGGACAAGGTGAATGCTTTTTAGAATTAGGTATTGGAGGTAAGTTAGTTGTTGTTTAATCTATTTATTTATTTTGCTCCGCATAGACCATTCGATTTGTGTGAGGGCTGGGATACTTCTCGGGTGCCCAAATCGAAGCAGGTGGTTTTCTTAGGGGGCCACACCCGGAGCCTTCGACCTAAAGGTCTGATCCACAGGGCAGTGGAGCATCGTAAGAGGATGCAATCCCATGGTATCCGGTGACCAAAAATTGGTTCATATATAATTTCTTCGTTCAGGATCCTGTAGTCCATGTGCAACATTGGTTTGAAATCAACATTTTCCAACTCCATTGGGTGGTTCCTCCGTGCCCACCGACCCGGTTAGGGCGCCGGCCATTCGGTTTTCGTCCACTGAATTTCATGAAAAACACCCTCGCCACAAGAAGGCAGTGAGTAGGACTTCTTTGGCAGTGGTTTTATGCACGTGGCCATATGAGAGCATTTGAAGATGGAGAGCGGACTCTCTTCATTCTCGGCCGTACCAGGGCATTCGGGGGCTGTTTAATCAGTTAATATTTAATAATAAAAAATTTCTAAAATTTTAATTATATTATATTATTGTATGGTTTTACATTTTCATGCAATAAATATGCTCAATTCATATCATTTGTCTATAATAAATATATTTTGTTTTGTTATGTCCTAGTGAGTAGGAAAAAATTGTATTTCCGACGTTTCATGACTTAATGTAAGCCACTTCTTCAGAGGAAATATACATAGTTTATAATTTACAGAAATATCCTAAAATTATTGAAATCATCATCATCATCATTAAACCATATTATCCGATTCATTTACATGTAGATTAATTATTCAAAATCCGGTGATGTTTCTATTCTCGTATTTTGATTGGATAATCATCACCTGACCCATTCTATCTATCTATCTATCTATCTATCATAATTGACATGACTTTAACTATTAATGTACACAAGAAGGGATGAAGGAAAAATGCAAGTGGAAAGAAGAGGAACTCATATGATGAATAAAAATAATGATTACTTCTTTTTATCATAATAGTCCAATATTAAATGGATGCATCGACATTTTCTTATGAAAAAAGACTAATCATTTAGATTATTGGTAAAACAAAACATACTTAATTAGGTTATTAAAGTTAGTAATTACGATACTCTGTTGGAAACTTAGGTTTTGTGTTATTTTCCACTGGTTATTCAGAGGGTATCTGAAATCTTGGGGAAAGTAACCCACTGTGTGAGATCCGGCTTCACAGTTTGAGATGTTACGACCGAGCTATTCAAGCAGTGAGTTATCTCCTGTAGGAGTGAAATGTTTTCTGTTGAATGATCATAGTAGTCTTTTGTACCGATTGCCTACAACCACTGGACAAATTAACATAGTCACGAGATATCAAGTCACTTAGACTATTAGTTGCATTGCAGCTTGGTTTGTAAAGTTTGATCAGCACTCAAGTTCTAGACAAATATAATATTGCTCACAACTACTGACTGATCAATCAATATGACCATTGATACTGTCTATCCAAACCGAAATAGATGTAGCGGGTTTTAACGCGCAACTCATTGGTTAATATTCAGCTTTCTAAACCATTAAGCTACTGCTGCACAAATATTTGTTGAAATATTGCTTAATCATTTTGTTTCCCATTAACTACCATGTAGATGGACAATGCCCTGGACTTGCTCCACAAGAAATGAATCAGTCTGTATGCACAGCTGAACGTCTTGCCGATTCTTTATCATCACATTTAATTCATTTGAGAGATCGTTGGATAACAGCTGGATCACAATCTTCAGCAACGACGACAACACAATCAGGGTCAGGTGTGGACACAACAACAAGACCATCCAGTGCTGAAAATAGTCACAGCAGTCCACATCGGCATACTTTAAGTAGTTCGTCTGGAGAAGGCAAAACAAAAGGAAATTCAATGAACATAGATGATGGGAGTCAATCAAAACAAAGCAGTAATTCGACTGATGATAATAAGGAACTGTCTAGTCAAAATATATCAGAAACAAATGCAACTGATACTACTAGTACTATTAGTAGTAGTAGTAGCAATAGTAGTTCAGCGACAACGGGTTGTTTAGTTAAAGAATATCTTCTTCGACGGAAAACTGCTTCAGATGATTTTGTAGATGTTCGGTACGTTTCTTTTTCGCCAAATATTACTTTCTCTCCTTCTCTCTCTCTCATTATTATTAAGTGTTTTATTTTCATATTCAGAAAACGCTATGTTGAGAAAGTCAGATAATGTACATCAATCAGTCATACGCAACGCAAAACATGATAAACCTGTATATGGGTTGAAGTTGCCATACCACTAGTTCATCGAGATAGAATTATTTCAAGATGATTCCCAAAGCAGTAGAACTACTCAGAGTATCAGCAGTAGTATAAAAGATTAGGTATAGAAAAAGGGTGCAAGGATGTTTTAAAACTCATGTTCTATGAAAAGCTCAAGAGTGAGTGCGCCTATACCGTTGCGAACAATTCAGAACCGTGTTACTCAATGTTTCTAATCGTTGGTTACGATAATCATGCGGCATCCAACCAGGTAGTCTACACCTATTAAAGTGACTCGGTCCAATTGTCAGTGACTCCATAGACTGATGTCACGTCTTAGTTTTGCCGCTCCTGGCTATCTCCCAGCCTACTCATAACATCAAACAACATCTCCCATCAAAGTAGTTGATGATTAAGCGTATGTATATTTGTACCTAGTGAGACTATTGTATATCACTATATTTCCTATTTATTTAATACATACCTTATCTGGTTACAACTGGACACTGAGAACGAAAGTATGTGCTACACATATAAAGAAATAACAATGTGACGAGATCAAAAATGCTAATGGGTGTACAGTCTATATATATATATATATATATATATATATATATATATATATATATATATATATATATATATATATATATTAGGACGGAACGAACTGCTGTGCAGTAAACCCGTTCTTTATTGGTAGACGGATATCTCGCCTACGCCATAAATGATGCAAGTTGACAAAAGCTAGTCGAGCCTTCTGTATCCGTGCTGAGATTTCGTCACACACCAGACCACAGAGGCTGATGAAAATCATAAGATAAGTGAAGCTGTCGACACGCTCAATTACTTCACTCCCTATCATTAGTTCGGGTGTCGATGCAACCCAAATCTGAAGCAAGATTTTGCATTTCGATGGGAGAATCGCATCCCGAACATGCCTGCATTGTTGCTTATAGTGGTCAGAAGACTGCATTTTACCAGGGGTGGGCATCACTTACATGGCTGCCTAATTGTTTTTCTGATTGTTCCTGAAATATATACTTAGCTTGACTATGATCATTAAATACAGCCCTAAGAGGCTTTCTTGCAGCATCTTTCCTACGTCCAGTAAGACGCATACAAATACGCGCTCGCACTAGAGCATGATCTGAATCCAAGCATGTGCTCCAGAATGAGCGACAGTCTTCTATCGAGCTCCTCCATCTGTAGGTGATAGCGATACGATCTATTCGGGTCTAACGTTCGGACGAATTCGGGAGTCGCCATGTCAAAAGATGTTTTTCCTTATACTTTAAGTTGGTATTTGCAAGAAACGAGTGGTTATCTGAGCGTAGCTGCAACAGATGGTCGCCATTATCTGTTCTTTGAGACTCGACACCATAAGATCCACCTAGGTGTCTTTCCTTTTCTCTTAGTTTACCTACTTGAGCATTAAAGACACCAGCCACTATTACTACATCAGAGCGCCAAACTTTTCTAGGAAGGTCGTAAAGCTTTCTGTAAAATCCATCTTTTACGTCGTCTGAGCTGCAGTCAGCGAGAGAGTAGGCAGAGACGACGAAGAGGTAACGACGAGTGTCCCTATAAGTTGGACAGCGCACGAACAACTGTCTACTGGGATCCACTCTAAGAGAGCTAGTTCTGCCCTAGGACTCAGTGCTATTCCTACACCAGCAAGGCCACGAGAAGCAGCATCAGGGCTTCCAGATACACGAAGCTCTTTTTTTGAACACATAAATATTGATACAAAGGGTCAATGAATACATATGTGCCACACAATCATTTGATTTGTATGTGGGCTGTGATACTGCCCGGGTGCCCAGACCGAAACAGGTGGTTTTCTTAGGGGGTCACTCCCCGAGCCTTTAAGCTAGAGGTCTAATCCACATGACAGTGGAACAACGTTTTGAGATGCAGTCCCATGGTACCCGCGAACAACGATTGGTTCACACGCTGTTTGTTCGTTCAGGATCCTAGAGCCTATGTACACCATTGGTTTGGAACCAGGGTTTTTCCAACTCCCCTAAGTGGCTCCTCTGTGCCCACGAACCCGATTAGAGCGCCAGACATTCGCTTTTCTTCCTCTCAATTCCATGAGCAACACCCCCGCCACGAGAAGGCAGTGAGTAGGACTTCCCTGGCAGTAGTTGTGTACGCATTAAATGTTTTTCATTGTAATTTAACGTTTTTCAACAGTGTTTATTTTGTTAAACAATACCCCTTAATGATTATATTGTTCACGGATTGTCATCTGATATTCATTCACTCCAGTCAGATAATAAAATATTAAGATATTGAGAGGAAATATCCTATTTCTTGTGTCATTCATGTTGATCAGTGCAATCCAGTTATTTTTTATTATCAACAAATTCTGTCTTATCATTACTGTTGATAGAACGTTTCATTTCTATATGTCAACTTGAACTGATGTACATATGTACCAGATTCTACGCTGCTACTAACTACTGATGTTTCATTATCAAACTAGATTTCCTTATCAGTAGATGTTTAAGATTTTACAGTACTAAGAAATTTTGTTAAATATATAAATAACCAGCTATCATATTGGAATTCAGTATAAACAGCCATTTTTACAAGTTTATACGTAAAGACTTTTAGTGTTCAAACTTTAGGATTTCATATTGTTCCTCAAATAACGCTCAGTTTTCTCCTTTACATCTGTGGGACAGTGATTTGCTCTAGACGAATATCTACACTAAATACTGTACCAGTGTTTATCCTACAGGACATCAACATAATTGGTATCAAGAGCACGTGACTGATCCGACTATACCGTGAATACATTTTAATGTCAATAACAATAATAACAAAGGGTAGGGAAATACATAACTTATCTAATACTTATCAGACTATGTACTAGTCTGACTACGTAAACAACCAGTCGCTATTTTCTTCATCCCCTTACATCAGTTCCATATGGTAGTTTGAAGGATTTAAATAGTATTTTGTTACAATTATTATTTATTCATTCGTCAATCAGATACATATCCGTCTACTTATCTTTGTAGTCACACTCTAAATGTAAAAAGGCTGATAATATCACTATTATCCAGTTGCCCAAACCAAAGTAAATGAAACAGGGTTTGAATGTGCACATTAGTTATTAGAAGTCGAACACCTTAAATACCACTGTGCATATTGAGCTTAGTGCATAATGACTGTGTTTATTGATGTATGGTTAATTAGTTAAATCAATTTATTGACTTCTTGTAAATAGTTTAACCTTATAAATATTAGTATCTACTTACATTTTATCCACTATCCTTGTGGCTTTATTCAGTTTAATATTTAATTTTGTCTTCCATGTATCATAGGGTGGCAGTTGTAGGAAATGTGGATGCAGGCAAATCTACTTTACTTGGTGTACTGACTCATGGTGAATTGGACAATGGTCGTGGTTTAGCTCGTTTACGTTTATTACGTCATAAACATGAAGCGGAATCTGGACGTACTAGTTCAGTGGCACATGATATATTGGGTTTTAGTTCACTTGGTCAAGTAGTCAATAAACCTGTACATGGTCATTTGAATTGGTCTGAAATTTGTGAAGCTTCAGCCAAAGTAAATTTTATTTTGTACCACTCTCTGTATTTGGTTTATTCGTTTTTAAATGTGCTTTCAAAGGTTTTTTTCAATAATTCGGGTAATCCTCTCTTTCTCTCTCTTACACACACATGTTACTTGACTTTTCTGTAGTTGTCTTTATAAAGATGGTAATACACAAATTTCTTTTCTGTTGTGTGATTCTCCCGAAATTCGATCTCGTACTTAATGATTATTTAATACATCTAGTGTATTCTGAAGGAATAATCCTGTTTTTCATCTTTTCTCTCATCTTACACAAATGCCTCCACAGAATTGCTTTGTGTCAAAGTTTGTAGTTTAACGATAAAGCCTCAATACTTATATATATATAATTATCTGTGAATTTTTGTCAGCCTTGTGGGTTTGATGATATATATACGCCTTCAAAAATATCGACCTCAAAAACCAAGAAACAGATTATTTTACTATTTATGAGAAATATCTCAGCAGCCATCACGAAGATCTTGAAGCTCTTTGAAATCAAAGGTGTTCACAAACTAACTTAGTCACTTCATTCCATTTCGTGCAAACCAAAGAATAGTAATGAAGGAGGACAAATGCAACATCATTTACAGAATAATTTGTACATTACCTACGTATAAATGAGCTTAGATTAACAGTGAGGCAATATGAAATGCTATTACTGAGATAAATGGATGTAGATAACCATGAATACGAATTTGATTGAAAAGGCATCGAAAATTCAAATTCTTAAACTCCAAGGGCGTCAGGGAATTTCTAGAAATATAACATTCAAGACACTTAACAATCAACGGACACATCAACATAGAGCCAATCTATACGGAAGAGATCGGCCAACAAAGATAGTCAATGTGCATTTCATCAGTTTGCAGTTCACAAGTGACAACTCGACCCTGCAACTGGCATACAAATAAGTAACATAGTGACCGTTTAGTTTCGTTTAAAGGATTTTCTTCGCCCTTCATCATAGTTCCACAGGTCAATTAATCTGGTCATATGGATAAATTTTTATATATGCATCTAATCACCATATGCATTCTGGGGTTCTATTCTGTCCACCTTATAAAAGAGGTTAAATAAAGATCAGATGTTACTATGCCGATACATGATATAACTGTTTAAGGACTATAAGTATTTGTAAATACCTCGGTTCATATCTGTAGCTCAAAACTGTAAGTAATATAACAGTGAATATCAGCGTTGGTGATACAGTTCCACTCATTATTCAACTGATTCGTTTTAATTTTCATTGTTGTATCTTTTTACGTATTTTGTCCAATTGGTGCCAATTCCTTATTTAATTGTACTGTAATTCTGTTGTAATGCAAGTTTTTAATAATGAACACGTTTTTTTTATTAGAAAGGTAAGTTCTCAAAACGATCAACTGTATGCAGATCGGTAGACAATGTACAGTTAATACAAACTGCATGATCAGTTGACACAAATCCTAGAATAAACTAGTATTAAAAATGTAAGACGACTGATCAGTTGGATAAATTTCTGTTTAGAAAGTTATTATCATCTCAATACCTACAAAGTCGCATGCAAAGTTCGAACTAATATCTGCTAACTCCATAAAATTATGCATCACATCATTGTTGAACCACATCAATACTTTTCTGCCATCTTAAACGTAATGCAGTTAAGATATATTGATTTACAAATCCGATCAAGTCGGTGATCTCAATTTCTGCTAAGGATATGTTGTTGGTTGTCACTTACTAGTTGCGCACGCTATAAGAAAATACTTCTCTTTGAGATACTTGGAAGAAAAACTGGATTAGGGATAGTCTTGATAACCTGAAGGTATGACAGCATAGCTCTAGGGGCTGGTTGTATGGCTTTTTTGCAAGCAGTAGTTGACGTCTTAACCTCGTGGTTTAAAAGTCTTATCATCGGTGATGAAGTTTCGTTGGGAAAGGTCAGGTGTACCTTTTTATTGTTGACATCTTCTAGCCCTACAAATAATCTGCCTAATATGGTAAAACCTGAAGGAACGACTATTCCATCCAATATGCGTAGTTCGGTTCATCATAATATACACCATCGACCACCACGGTCAAGCATCGTGTGATTTACAATTGTTTAATATTGATATTAAGGATACTCCGAAGGTCTGTTTGATCTGTAAATAGTAGTCTATATAGATTGACCTCATTTATGGATAACATTAAAAGCCATTGAAGACTGGATAGCTGTTCTGTTCTAGTATTCAATTTTTCAAGAGCTTGCACTCTCCTAGAATTAAACAGCCAGTAAACCCTGGTATTCTATTGTACTAGTGACAATACATGACAATTGACACTTGTTTAGCAGCAGATTAACGTTGTTCATTTTTGTTCGCTCCACTCTCGTTCGGTGCATTTTTTTTCTTATTTTTCTATCAATTAACTTAATTTTATGTTTTTTTATTACTCAGGTAATCACATTCATTGATTTAGCTGGTCATGAACGTTATTTAAAAACAACCATATTTGGTATGACTGGTCATGCACCAGATTATGTTATGTTTATGGTTGGTGCTAATGCTGGTGTTATTGGTATGGCTAAAGAACATTTAGGCCTGGCATTAGCTTTATGTGTGCCAGTATTTGTTGTAGTTACAAAAATTGATATGTGCCCACCAAATGTACTACATGAAACAATGAATTTGTTATTTCGTATATTAAAATCACCTGGTTGTCGAAAAATTCCAGCATTGATATCATCAACGTAAGTATTTTTTGTATATTTATAATTGTATGATAAAAATGTACCTTGGACAATTGATTGATAGCTTAACGACTACAAAGTTCAACTTTCATCCTTTTTTCTCTCATATTCGAGCCCCATCTCATCCTTTATATTGATATATACAGGGAAATAGTGTTACTAACCTTGATAACAAAAATAAAGTGTAAAACTTACATCTAAATACAGAATCTTGTACTGATTAACTGGTTTATATTAATAGTACTAATAATCATGATTACTATGTAATAATGTTATCGCTCTTAGTTAATTGAATTACATGCTTATCACAAAAAATGACCTTTCTTGAAACTTCATCACAAAATTATGAAGAACAGACTTATAATTCATCAGTAGTGCTGATGAACAACGTTTGAAAACAACCCAATAATTATTTTTCTCAGTGAATATGCTGGAAATTAAAATTCACATTTAAAATGAACTAAAATTATGTCATCCCCAAATGCCCTGGTATGACCGAGAGTGGGGAGAGTCCGCTCTCCCTCTCGGAATGCCACGTGTATATAGCCTCTGCCAGGGAAGTCCTACTCACTGCCTTCTCGTGGCGGGGGTGTTGTTTACGAAATTGAGAGAACGAAAAGTGAATGTCCGGCGCGTTAACCGGGTTGATGGGTATGCAGGAGCCATCTAGAAGAGTTGGAAAACTCTTATTCCAAACCAATGGTGTACATGGGCTCCAGGATCCTGAGGGAAAAAATGGCGTATGAACCGATCGTTGGCACTGGCTAGCATGGGACTGCATCTTGTTACGATGCTCCACTGCCTTGTGGATCAGACATTTAGGTCGAAGGCTCCGGATGTGGCTCCCTAAGAAAACGACCTGCTTCGGTCTGAGCACCCGGGTAGTATCACAGCGCTCACACAAATGAAATGAGATCGTATAATAATAGCCTAGGGATCAAAATAAGGTTTATAATAAGAGGAATATGAACTACATAGTTTAGTTACTCAGCAATTACACAATAAAAATATGTGTATAGTATTAGTCCATAAATAGATTCCAACAGTTACCATTCATTATTCTCGTCGGGAGATAATAATTACCGTTTTTTCAATAATTATATTTATATCAGAAAGGAGTTTTTGTAGGTATTATAGTAATTTAATAGTTGCGATCATAAGTCAATTGAAGCTAGACCACCATGTAAAACCTATCGTGAGATAGTAACTCATTGAAGGCAATGGTGGACATATGGTTCAATTTCTTGGATTGGTTAAAGTTAGACATTAACATCATTGAATGCCTACCGACTCATCGGTCTAAAGGTTAAGCATTCATATGCAAGACCGACAGGTCTCGGGTTCGAATCCCTCCGGGTGGGATCGTAGATGCTCACTGTTGAAGAGTCCCTCCTAGGTTTTTCATGATTGTCTAGCTTCATTTGACTCATGATCTCAACTATTAAATTATATATTTATTTTGATTTGTTTATTTATATCTTCTTTTCTTTATTAACCCTCTTTATACAACAATAATTCATTTCAGGGATGATGTTATTTGTTGTGCAACAAATTTCACTTCAGAACGTATGTGTCCAATATTTCCAGTTTCAAATGTAAATGGTACAAATTTAGATTTATTAAAATTATTTCTTAATTTATTACCATCAAGATCTGAGCCACGATTAAATGAATTAGCACATTTTCAAATTGATGAAATATTCTCTGTACAAGGTGTTGGTACAGTTATCTCTGGTACATGTTTATCTGGTATTATTAAATTAAATGATATTTTATTACTTGGTCCTGATTTATCTGGACAATTTAATCCAATTTCAATTAAAAGTATACAACGTAAACGTTTATCAGTGAATTATGTACGTGGTGGACAAACTGCATCATTTGCATTGAAAAAATTACGACGTAATCAAGTTCGTAAAGTAAGTATTGAAATAGATTTAAATTATTGTAATGTATGTTTGTTTGTTTATTTTTCTCATTTGAGTTGTTAAATATCGTTTTTGGGGGAGGCGAAATGATATGATCCTCTTTCTCCTGGTGATCGACTGGATCATGTAGACGTCAACATCTGGGGCGAAGCATGGGATACAGTGGATAGCTAGGATGCAGTTGGACGATCTAGACTTCGCAGACGACCTGGCTCTTCTATCGCACACGCACCAACAAGTGCAGGTGAAGATGATCAGTGTAGCAGCATCCTCAGCAGCAGTAGGTCTCAACATACGCAAAGGGAAAAGCAAGATTCTCCGATACAACACAGCATGCACCAATCCAATCACAATTGACGAAGATTTGGAAGATGTAAGAACCTTTACATATCTGGGCAGCATCATTGATGAACAGGGTGTATCTGATGCAGATGTGAAGGTGCGGATCGGAAAAGCAAGAATAGCATATTTACAACTGAAGAACATCTGGAACTCAAAACAACTGTCAACCAACACCAAGGTCAGGATTTTCAATACAAATGTCAAGACAGTTCTATTGTATGTGGCGAAAACCTGGAGAACTAGGAAGGCCATCATCCAGAAGATACAAGTGTTTATTAACAGTAGTCTATGCAAAACACTTCGGATCCATTGGTCAGACACTATCAGCAACAACCTACTATAGGAGAGAACAAACCAGATCCCAGTGGAGGAAGAAGCGCTGGAAGTGGAGAGGACATACATTGAGGAAAGCACCGAACTGCGTCACGACGCAAGCCCTCGTATGTAATCCTTAAGGCCAAAGGAAAAAAGGGAGACGAAAGAACACATTACTTTGAGAAATGGAAATAGATATGAGTAAAATGAACAAGAATTGGATGGAACTAGAAAAAAAGGCTCAGGACGGAATGGGTTGGAGAATGCTGGTCAGCGGCCTATGCTTCATTGAGAGTCACAGGCGTAAGTAAGTAAGTAAGCATGATCCGAAAAGAAAGAAAGAACTAAAAGTGTGAGATAGTCTTAAAGAGTGAATATATCTGTACTATTATGTTCGGTTTTGGTGTGTTTCATCCAACATCTCCAACCTTTAATTAAAATAATCACGCGGACCCTAATCAACTAGTCTACAACTAGATACAGGATTCACTCTTACAGTCAATGAATTTATGGATTGTTGCTACATTTTAGTCTGGGTATCCCTAGTTTATTTCCAGCTTACTCTCATAATTAGTTAATGCCATCCGTTTAGGTTGATGGTTGTTGACTATAAGTAATGCATATCTCAACCACCTCAACACCTCATCAAACAATTCGCTATCTTCACCTAGTACTCTGTGTCTAAACTGATTACTGCCTACTCGGAGGTCCCAACATATGTGACAAATGTTTCGAGGATAAATATTGGCAATCCATGAATATTCTTTATTTTCAGAGTTCGTTTCACGTCTATAAAGTGGAGCACAGCGAACTGTTGATCAGTATATTCGTTCTTTAGTTGTCAAACTAACACCTTGCCTACCCTATAAGCTATGTAAGTTGAAAAAAGTCAATTGAGTTTCCTTAATCCTTGCTGAGATTCTGTCAGATACCAACCCATCATGGCTGGTGATACTTCCAAGATGAATATTTTATCCCTTATCATTGGTTCAGGCTTTGACCATAGATCAGTCCTTGAAGTAATACTTTACATTTAAGGGTAATATATTTGAATATATTTGTTATGACACATTTCAATAATAAACTGTAATTCCATTATTTCGCACTATTATTATTATTACTATAAAAGGGTATGGTATTGTTAGCGCCAGAATTGAAACCGAAAGCATGTATTGAATTTATTGCTGAAGTATTAATTTTACATCATCCTACAACTATATCAGTTGGTTATCAAGCTATGGTTCATGCAGGTCCTGTACGTCAAACTGCAACAATATTAAAATTAAATTCACATGAACGTTTAAGAACCGGTGATAAAGATATGGTTGTATTTCGTTTTATTAAATCTCCTGAATATTTATACACTGGTCTACGTTTAATATTTCGTGAAGGTAAAACAAAAGCTGTTGGTAAGTAAATTAGCTAATGGTGAAAAATTGTATTCATTTTGATATCATAATTATTTTGTCGCTTAGTATATCTGTATACTACTCAGTGGTGTACGTCCACAATTGCATCAATGATTGAATCTGTGATCTTTTAGCTTTACAACAAGTATTTCATTTGCAAACCACTGAGTTGGCATTGATTTACCCAACTTTATATTACACTCTAGTTGTGCGGGGGATATTAATACTACCCAATTGATTAAAACAAATTTTGTGGAATGATGTTGGAATCCACGATATTCTAATTGGAAGATAAGTGATTTAACCATTAGGCCACCATTTTATTGATTTGGCATCTAACAGCTTATATTTTATGATTTCAATTAATTCACTATATTACTTAGAAATACCATACTAGAACGAAACAGGTACTTCTTCATTTTACACGGTTGTTTAACTTAAGTTAGCTAATGGTCAGTCAGTCAGTCAGCTACAACGTAGGATCAGGCACATATATGCATCGGTCCAAGTTGCCATACCTCATTAACACAACGAAATGAATATCGGATTTATATATACCATAATATATAAAAGAAAGATTGCATATAAGGACATGGTACAGGAAGAAAGAATTAGTTCGTAGAAAGAAAAATATGAAATAACTATAATCTCATAGTTTAAGGGAAGATAGAGAGTGTACACACCTACGCTATTGTGATCGATTCTGAGCCATGTCACCAAGAGTCTCCAACCATTGGTTACGATAGTCACGCGGACCCCAACCAAGTAGTCTGGATCTACCAAAAATGGCTCAGACCAGAAGTTAGTGACTTCAAGCACTGATGCCATGTTTTGGTTTGTTCGCCCCTAACTTTCTTCCAACCATCCCGAACACCGGTTAGCATTGCACGTCGTGGTAATCGGTGTTCGGGCATACGTAACACGTGGCCCAACCATCTCAGTCGATGAAGATTTACAGCCTAACCAACTGATTTACCATTATTACCCAATACCTTGCATCCAACCTCACTATTACTTACCCGGTGGTCTCAGCAGACGCCAGCAATATTTCTAATGGTGGAAAATATATGTTAAATAAGTTCAGTGATAGTTACATTATACATATTTCCAAATTTGTGTTACATATGCTATGAGAACTTCATTTACCTGCATCTAATTATTGGCTGAATTCTTCACTCTGTAGTCGTTAAGGGTGTCAGTGGCTTAGAGTGGTTAGGTAATTTCTTGTTGGTCATAAAAATGATTTGTAATTGACATGGGTAAAATACTTACCAGTGACTACTTTTGAAAGGTAATTCACGGAGTTTTGATGAGAAGTTGTGACTAGTGGAGTTTAACCATACCTAATGCGAAATAGTTACTCACCGATGATATTGGAAGATGTTTTTGCAATATGATGAATTAATTGAAGTCAGAAATTAGGCTAATGTATGTCAAACCAATAGGTTTTAGGTTAAGCACTTATTACAAAACTTACAGGTTCTAGGTGACGCTATGAATGTTTAGTACTGATAGAAGTTTCATACTTGGATGAAACAGCTTTACAGTTGTTTCTAGTTTTCAGTGTTTATCTAACTAAAGCCAGTCGGTAGTGTAAACTGTAAAAAATGTTAGATGTTCAACAATGACACTTTCTTTCTGAAAAGATGCTTACCGAATATTCTTTTCTCTCTCATATCAACATGTCTAATATTGTTTGACTTTGTATTGAACCTTCTTATTACTCAACATGTTACATGTACTTACCATTATTGTTATTATTATTATTATTATTATTATTATTATTATTATTATTATTATTATTATTATTATTATTATTATTATATTTGATTCTAGGTACTGTTAAGGAACTAGTTCCATATTCTGCTTCAATTCAACAAAATCCACGTGCTAAACTACTTAAAAGATATGTTATTAGTAGGACAAACCAACCGATGAATAATACTGGAACGGATGAGATAAAGGCGTCAAGTAATACATCATCACTCCCTAAATCAGCCGAGTATACCAGTACTACTACTAATACTATTAGTCAACCAGATACTACTGGATTGCCTAATATTCCTGTTTCTGATTTATTAACTAGTGATAATCTTAATGCATCGGCTAATTCAAGACAACGTAAATATCATCATCGTACACGTAAAGATATTACTGAATAAATGAGACAAAAACTTAACTCTAAGCGCTGCCACTGTGTCCAAATTGAAACGATATTATCATCGACAAGTTTAATATTCATCTTTCAAATCAAAATACATTTCGTTTGCTTCTGTGTGTTTTAAAACAATCATTTTTCACTTTTCCTAACGTTTTCATCGTTAATTAATCCATACATAGAAAGTATCTTATTCTTATTCCGTAACAATTATTACCACTACCATATCCCACTCTTCTTTTTTTCTTTTTCTAAATTAACTACTTATATATGAAAAGAGTAGTTAGTTTATCCATGCTAATCTTTTGAAATACATTACATTATCATGTCGAATCTTTGTTGCATTGACCAAATATTCGTTTAGGTTGGTTACTATTCACTACCTACTTTTCTTACTCAATACTTTGTAGGTTTACAGTTTTCCCTATCGTTTTTTTTCTTCCCCCTAGTTCCCATTGCGAACACACATGTTTTGTCACGTGATAAGTACTATTTTTTATACCGCACTGTCTTTGCAGAGAAAATAACTATTCGTTATTCCTATTGATCCAATGTGATCACCAATCACTGTGTGTTTATTTTCATGACTTTTCACCCCCATGTCACTTTTAAACCTTGTTTTTTTTCTTCAAAAGAAATAAGGGATTATCTTGTTGTATTTCCACCTTTTATTGTTTCTGTGTACATATGTAAAGAATTGAAAAGTTCTTGCATAAATATATTTAATGCAATTCATATGTATTCATTACTAAGTTCCACTCAAAATGAACCTTGTTCATAGTCTGACAGAACGCACTTGACAATATTTTCATATCGTATTTGTGACTTATCAGCAATGCATACTCATCATTTTATACGACACTAAATAGAGCACCTTCAGGTCTGGTGGTAACCATTTTACTATACCATTAAGTCACTGACTCAATATCCAGTCGTTCAAAATTATGGCTTGTAACATAAGGTAGTTTTCATACAATTTTCGCCGGGTATATGTCTCGTTTTCGACATTGTCAAACTAGATCAGTTATAACAACCTCTCACTGGGACGTCAGGAGTTCATCACAAAGTTATTTAATAGTTAGTGCACAAATATGGTTGATTGTTTAAATGTAGGTGATAAGTCGTGTAGGTTTAACGCTATATACGATTCCTAAGCTATTCCCGTAACCTGCAGACTAGAACTACACAGCGACTTGAACTCCAGAGAGAAGACACAAGTATGAGAGAAAACACTTTATCCCAAGGTTCATTTTAGTACAGAAAATCAAGGGTATTTATAGATGTTGGAGTCTGTTAAATAAACATCATATTTCAGCCAATCCGTTAACGTCATATGCTACCGACCAATGGTAGCGCGCCACGCTGGAATTCTCGAACATTCTATCATACTCTGATTGGCTAGGGCCCTTCGACTCCTTTTTGGGCCTCTGGAGGCTCCGTTGAAGTTTTCCAGAAGCCGACCCAACAGTAGGTTCGTGAAGTTTGTTCACTGTACCCAATCCATAATGTCTATTAACTTTTCCATTTATTTTTTTTTTGTAAATCCTACTCAATATAATAAGTCCGCTTGAAAGAAGAAAATTAAGTGCACTAAAATGATTCATTATTATTGTCTGGTCGAAGAGATTTTGTAGATTGTATTCATCACAGATTGATCTCAGTTAAGGTACGATTGGTGGGTAACCAGGGAACACTAGCCATATGTTTCATTTCAGTATGACACCCCTCAAAAGTGCTTACCCACAGCCTTTCAATCAGTACACTAGAAAAAAATAGATGGACGGTTGTGACTGAATTTTATTATTGTTTTCAGCTAAGAGTAGCAATAATTATGTCTAGGAAATTGACACATCGATTCGTGTATCATAATACTCTCGGTGTAGTTTATATAAATATCCATATGAATAGCTTTATTCTATGTAATATACACATTTTTCTTTCGAATTTAAGCCTCACAATGTTTTTTTTTTCAGTAAGAACAAAATATCTTTCCACGAGAAATGATGATGTGAACGATACTTAAGACCTAAAACAGTAACATCACATCAGTCCATCAATGAACAGACCTGACAAATGTTTAACAATGATTGCAGCTGCTGGTAATGCTCAAATCTTCATCATTATACAAACTCAAAAGTTCCCACTAATAGATTGATTCAATATCCTCAATGATAAAAATCTATATAAATAGTAGATCAAATACACTGATATTGAAAAAAAGTATTGTTGCGGTGTTCAGAATGTCATTCTTAAATGAAGTTTTGTTAGATAATGAGTTTTGTTCTTTAAACTAAATTGCATTGTGTACCACTAAGTCACAAGCAATCCGAACGTATACCAAAAGAGAACGATCAGTCAAAATCCCAAACACAAATAGGGTTTGAACATATTAATATTGGTATAAAGGAGTACCGAATACATATGCGCCACACAAGTCACTTGATTTGTGTATGGGCAGTGATACTAACCGGGTGCTCAGACCGAAGCAGGTGGTTTTCTGAGGGAGCCACACCCAGAGCCTTCGACCTAAAGGTCTGATTTACAAGACAGTGGAGAAACATCAGGAGATGCAGTCTCTGGGTGACATAGCTCAGAATCGATCATAATGGCGTAGGTGTATACACTCTTTGTCCTCCCTTAAACCGTGAGATTAAAGTCGCTTTATATCTTTCTTTCTACGAACTAATTGTTTCTTCCTGTATTATATTCTTATACACAATCTTTTATATATTACTACTATTGAAGTAACTACTTCTATGAATTCGGTGTTCATCTTATTGTGCTAATAAGGTGTATCAACTTGGACCGATGCATATATGTGCCTAGTCCTACATTGTAGCTGATTGACTGACTGTAGTCCCATGGTAACCGGTGACCAATAATCAGTTCACACGCCATTTGTTCCCTCAGGATCCTGGAGCTCATGTGCACCATTGGTTTGGAACCATGGTTTTCCAACTAGACTAGGTGGCTCCTCCATATCTATTAACCCGGTTAAAGCGCCGGACATTCGCTTTTCGTCCTCCAAATTTCGTAAACAACACCCCAACCTCGAGAAGGCAGTGAGTAGGACTTCCCTGGCAGAGATTATATACGCGTATCCATGCGAAAGAATTTGGAGATGGAGAATTGACTCTCCTCAATCTCGGTCATACCAGGGCATTTATATTTATTCTATGAATTTTTCTTCTCTATTTTCAAAACTTTATTTATTCTCTTGTCAATTAGAGAAGAAAAGGTCATTTGATTATTTTGGAAAATCGCTGTTGTTGTTGTTGTTGTTTGTTTTATTTCATTGTTCACTATTGACTGTCATATTTTTATTCTACCTCTGTCACTATACAAATTTCAAAAATCAATAAATTCTGTTATTTTACATCTGTTTTCATTTGTACTATTATTGTCTTATTGAAGTCGTTTTTTGTGATGTATACGTGTTTATCCGTTTAGTTTGGTTTGTAATTCGTTATTTATTATGTAGTTCTCGAATTGATTAAAATTGAATGAATGATCTAATAGTCAAAAGGTCGATATGGTACCTGAAATTTCTTGGTTCGATTCCTGGTGAAATCGTAATTCAGTATTGCTTACTAGTCCTATAACATAACGAAACAACTGTCCGATGTTCTTTAGTGTTCAATGATACCTAAATTGATATTAATACGTGACGAATACTGCACATAGTTAATTACTTTACTGTAAAGATAAGATTAACGTAGAGTTTTTTTTCTTGAAACATAATGAAGCTGTATCATACAGAAGAGACTGATCAATGCTAGAAATGACATTGGAATTTGTAAGTCGACTTGTAATTTTTAACACTTAAAGACTCGTCAATCCAGAAATTATTGAAAATATAATCTGTACATTGATCTATCGTAATACAGACAAGTTTTGTTTCAGTTTGGAAAGAACAGGAGGCTAGGTGGCTTGTTAGTCCTGGCAATGGTGGTCTCTCAGTTGATCCAACTTTCTTTTGAAAGCATCGACAGATGGAACTTCAATCATGTGTTGAAGTAAGGGATTCCATTCGTTGATATTTCGATGGGAAAGTCGATAATCAGCTGAAAAATGATTTGTTCTGGGCTTGCGAACATTTTTAGTGTCCACATAAATTTTCTGTTTTGGAAGACAAGGAAAATGAGAGCATATGAGGTGCAAATTTATCACTAAGTAATTTGAAAACTGTGATCAAGTCGCCTGTGATTCTTCTATATGACGATGGGAATAGTTCGAGTTTAGTTTCTCGAGTATCATACTGGAGCTTCGCTATTTTGGGAATCAGTTTAGTTGTGGTTCACTGAAATTTTCCCAAAAGCTCACTGTCTTTTTTTAGGCAGGGGCTAGCCGCTTGTATTCAGTACCCCAGCTTAGAACGCACGAGCACTGTACAATGTAAAAAACATTTTAGCATCGACATGGCTAAAGGACCTACGTATTGACCATAAGGTTCTAAAACCTTTTGAGGCTATTGCACGGCAGTGTTCAGTAGTCTTTAAGTCTTGGCTAACGATGACTCCTAAGTCATTGTGTGTCTGGACAACATGTGACTCAGTGTTATTCACCGTGTGTGTACTTGTACCTTGGTGATCTATATGCATCATAATACAGTCGCAAGTGTTCATTGGCAACTGCCAGGTTTGAGACCATTTAGTTAATTTCTCCAGGTCATTTTGGAGTTCTAAGCTATCACCCTTACTTTGTATCGCTCTCCATATCTTGGCATCGTCAGTATATATCAACAGAGATGATGATATTAGACGAAGAAGGTCATTTACATACAAAGAGGAATAACACTGTTCCCAAAGCTGTACTTTGAGACATTCCGCTAAGCACAGTTTCCCAGCTAGACAACTTTGAGTTAGAGACACTTATTCATTCTAAAGGAAATTGTAGTATATCTTAAAGATATTTAACAACTTATGAAAGCTTATATCAATTATTTCTAATCGTTTTCAAGATTTCTATACATAAAAATCCCGATAGATTGATGAAACAACTTTCTCAGATTAGCTCAAGCGACATCTTTGACGTTTTTCTTTTTGTTTTCAAATTTGTTTATACGTGACTTAATTCTCCGTTATTCAATACGTTGACAATGATACAATCTAACTGTTAGTCTATTTCAAACAAAACACAAAGGAGTAAGTTTTTTTTCTATAGAAAGTTATACTTCGGATAAAATCTACATTGTAAGAAGCAACTATTTCGAGGTTACTCTTGGTACAGGTACTGACTTACTTACTTACGCCTGTTAATCCCAATGGAGCATTGGCTGCTGACCAGCATTCTCCAACCCACTCTATCCTGGGCGTTCCTTTCCAGTTCTGTCCAATTTTTGTTCATTTTTCTCATGTCTATCTCCATTTCTCAGCGTAATTTGTTCTTTGGTCTTCCTCTTTTCCTTTGGCCTTCAGGATTCCATGCGAGGGCTTGCCTTGTGACGTAGTTGGATGAAAACCTAGACTTAACATTTATCACTACAACAAAATACATCGTTGTATCTCATAAGTACTAAATTAAAGATAATTATGGTAGATGAATATCAGTTATTTAGTTTATAAGATTGAACGGAACCAACATCTTAGTAAAATCTGAGAACCATACAATAAATACTTCATTTACAAAATCTCAATCGATTGTCTCAGACTTCATTGTTCTTTCGTTTTCACACTAATGATTCTTTGTTCTTGTTGCTTTTTCTTTAATCTTCTTAACCTTCTACTACCAAATA